GGCACCTCCGGGGGGTGGGGGGACCAGTGAGAGGGGATAAGGGGGGAGAGGAGGGATAGGGAGAGCTGCGGTGGCGAGCGAGCGATGCTGATATGAATGGAATGCGATGCCATTATCGTGGTGTACATACCGATAACTCGATGCCCCGTTGAGCGAACGAAGGTGTCTGCAGACGAAGCAAAAGCTCTTAACTTTCGAGCAATCGTATCTCCTTGCACGAAATGTATCCCCCGATGTTGTTTCTTTTCTTTCGGTTTTTATGCGATTTTTTTTTCTTGCCGAACGCGCGCGCACCGCCGACGAAATTGGCAACTGAAAATCGTGGATTCTGGCGCGCGAGCTGCCGACACGTCGAGCGAGCGAGAGAGATCGATTTTGATGGAAAATATTCAAGGTCGATTTCCAAACGGAAACAAACAATTGGATGAATGGCGGCGATGGAGTAACTGATGAATACTGGAATGTAAATGGGAATGAATAGGGGCAATGGAATGCTCGGGTCGAGTTTATACACGGTGGACGGATAAAAATTAACCTTGAACGTATTCGGATGTGTGGGAGACGATGTTCACGATTATCGATACGGTAGTGATATTTTGTATTGATCGATATTTTGTGGTATCGATATATGGAACCAATTGTATCAAGTCGGTCAAAGGAACGTTTCACACAGTTTCTTATTTTATATTGCAAAGTTTGTTATGAGATTTTCTTGAAGTTTGTGTTTTTTATTACTAATATTGAAGTGTGCTGAATTATATACTGGTGCGGTTAGAGTTAATGATATATCGATAATAATATTTATCGTTCTACTTATTTTGTCCATACTTCAAGCTTGCTCTAATAAAACTTAATGTGTAGTTTTGTAATAGAAATTGAACTCTAATAATTTAATATAATAAATATAATACAAGAATATATTTATATGAGAAAATAAATTAGGTTAAATTTTAGCATTCAATTCTAGTAAGTTGAGGTAGATTGTGACGCGTTATTAAGTCGGTTAAAGTTAGATTAGAGCTAGATTGATTTAAGTTAGGATTAGAGTTAGGTTACAATTGTTAACTTGCTGAATTGAGTTAGGTTAGAGTTAGATTAATTTAGGTAGGGAGTAGTTAGGTACATTTTGCAGTTAGATTTGTTTAGAGTACATTAATGTTTGATAGGTTAGGCTAGGTTAGAGTAGATAAAAGTTACAGAATTTTAGGTTAGGTTATACGAAAGTTAGGTTAGGTTCAGTTAAGATTAATTTAATTTTTCTAAATTACTAAAATTTTTAAAAATCAATTTCCAAATCTCAAAATTTCCAAAATACCAAAAATTCGACCAATTCACTATATTTCCAAATAACAAAATTTCAGTGCTGATAATTCATAAAGGAAACATGTTATTGAATAAGAAATTTATCCACTAAATATTCAATATCGAAAAATCTTATGTTCTATCAACAACTTGACGCCATTAAAATGTTTACTTGAAATATTCAGAACATAAATATGTGATGGAATCTTGGTGCTCATTCAAGCGTTATCAAAATCCTCTAATACTCATTGAAGAAAAGTATGAATGTTATCGATCGTATTGCTCAACACGAAACGCTAACTATATCGATTTGTTACTATAAGTACACACATTACAATAAATATATTAGTTAAAGAAATGTAAATTTTTCTGACTGTTCTAATTTAATTTAATATAAAATGTGTATTATATCAAGATACACATATGTGTATTATATATCTATTTTTATTACTGTATTTGTTCATAAATATTATATAAATTAAATAGCAAATTTATTATTATTTAATGAATAAAGTAAATTTAATAATAATAAATATTAATATTATATAATATTACATAAATATAATTTATGTATATGTATAATACATTTTCTAAATGTATAAACAATATTTTGTATCTAAATCATAAAATGTGTAAATAACATTTTATATACAAATTTTAAATAGTATAATGTGTATGATGCAATTTTAATGTACAGATGTAATGTACACACGTGAAGATAAATACCAGTGTTTATGTACTTTATATACAAAACACAATTATTGTTCTATTCTATAAATAGATTGTTTATGCATAAAAAAAAGCATGTTTGATAATATACAAAACAATGATTCTATTTTTATGTTTATTTACAGCTAAAAGAAACTTTGACTTTGACAAGGTCAAACTCACTCTGCAGTGTTTATAATAATAACTTTGACCTCAAAGAACATAACCTCAAATACACTCAACTTTAACCTCGAATATACACAAGAAAATTGTCGCTAAAGTACATTGTAATATTATACTTCAGCAGTTTCTAAGTATATCTACCAGCTATTTTATCTACGACGAATACAAAAGTTTAGAGAGGATTTCAACTATCTGATAATTTCCGGCATGCCAGAGATATTTCTTCAGCAAGCTATATGGGTCACCGATGACCAGAATCACAAAAATAAATTAATATTTAGATACATCAAGCTTAAATAAGCAAATGATTACACAAATATTTATTTATTAAAATAAATATATATTATATGGTATTTATAATATTAAAAAATTGTTAGTTGTATTAATAAATATTTTTAATAAATATAAAAGATTATAAGAAACTTTTTTTGAAAAATATAAATCTACTTTACAATTTTTAATATTATAAATATTATATAATGTTATAAATGTCACATTATATAATAAAATATATTATAAATAGTTTTTGGACAATTTTTAATAACTATTATTATGAATATTTTCTATATATTTGTAATAATAAATATTTTTAACAAATATAGAAGATATTCATAACAAACTTTTTTTGATAAATGTAAATCTAGTTACAATTTTTAATATTATAGATATTATATAATATATGTTATTATAAATAGTTTCTGGACAATTTTTAATAATTATTATTATGAATATTTTTTTAAATATTTACTATTATTATTTTTATAATCATATTTTTTTATACTTCACATATTTTTCATAATATTTTTTATTACTCTTTCATCTATTTCTCTCAGAATATTTTAATCTGTGTTTTCAATGTATTTTAGCAATGTCTTATTTATCATGACTAACATATTTGAAATAAATAAAAAGTATTTCAAGTATCAAGAAACATCAAGTACAAATAATCAATAAAGTAAGCCTAAAATATTAATTACATACAAAAAAAAAATATTTTTTTGAAAAAACATATTTACACATTTTTGAAAATATCAAAAGCGTCTAACGGGATTAAAAAGAGAAGAGATTCGGCGTGCTTTCGGAGAGCTTTTCTTAGAATATCAAGCTGGAAGATGTTAGAAATTCTGAAGAACGTATTCGGTATGCATATCGCTTTACGGTGCTCTCCCTTTCGGAGAAATCGGCATCTGATACTCGTGCATTCCCTTTGGATGAATGTTCAACGTTATATCGAGATTTCGTCGAAATCCTCTTATCAGGGAAATAAAAGTGACCAGACAAAGTGACGTGTTTCATCCAGTTGCGACGCAATTAACCTAGTGTCGTGTATTTATATGTACTATACAAATATAGAGGCCAGTCTTACTAGGAAATTTCTCCTCGACCGTTTCCCCTGATACTTTTGTTAAATACTTTTGTACATAACACTCGTGATATGTGTACTCTTCTAACTTTCTTGTATACCGGTTTGAGGATGGTGGAGATGCGACGGTCTCTCGTTATATGGCCGTTTTGATGGGGGTATTATAGGTACTATTTTGTTAGTGAAAAGTATCGTAAAAATTTGAGATTTGAGAATTTTGGGAAATTGAGAATTTGGGGAGTTTGAGAATTTTTGGAGTTTAAGAATTTGGGGAATTTGAGAATTTTGGGAGTTTGAGAATTTAGGGAATTTGAGAATTTTAGGAGTTTGAGAATTTTGGAGTTCAAGAATTTGGGGAATTTTGGGAGTTTGAGAATTTGGGGAATTTGAGAATTTGGGGAATTTGAGAATTTGGGGAATTTGAGAATTTTGGGAGTTTGAGAATTTGGAGAATTTTTAAATTTTGGGAATTTGAGAATTTTGGGAGTTTGAGAATTTGGGGAATTTGAGAATTTTGGGTGTTTGAGAATTTGGGGAATTGGAGAATTTGGAAATTTGAGAATTTGAGAATTTGGAAGTTTGAGAATTTGAGAATTTGAGAATTTGAGAATTTGAGAATTTGGAAATTTGAGAATTTAGAAATTTGAGAATTTGAAAAAATTCTGAAAATCTGAAAATCTAAATATTAGCAAGTTAGGAAAATTCTTAAATAATAATTCACACTAATTTCATAGAAATTGTATGTTTTATAACAAATAAAAGAATGTCAAATATTACTGTGGCTGTATCTACTGTTATTCGTAACAAACCTCAAAAGCAATAATTTTTTTACTTTTATCACTGTATCGGTTCCATCAGCAAAGGAAATGAAATTTTTTTATAAGAAGCAAGTGTAATCTACGTGTATTGGCAAAATAACAATACCAATTACATTATTCGGTTTCCAAGAAGGCACACGATTTCGTCGCAATGACAGTGTGACGTCTGAACGCGAATATTTACAACCATTATCTTGCGACTGACTAAAACTGTGCGAGATTTGAAGTTTAATAATGTAACGCGTTGATTACGTTATTCGCTGTACTTCACATTTATATAAAATGTGTAATATTCTGGTCATTAAACAATTATATTAAAAAATTAATTATAGTACTTTCTAACAATCTGAATATTGCATTAATGATCAAATATTTTTAAATTGTTGAAACAATTAATTATTTTTAAATTATTCAATTTTATTTCTAAATAATATTTTCAAAATATTTTAAAAATATGTAACAGAAAAAACTTTCTTTTTATTCAAAAGTAGTAAATTTTTTAAATAATAATTTTTGTTTATATATTGTATTCCATTGTATGCAGAATTGATTTCGTGTAACATACATATATAATATAAAGGTTTCAAGCTACCATAACCATAAATTAATTCAAAAGCACTGCAACATGAATGTCATATAATTCAAATCAATATCTATTGTCAAATAATTCCTTTTCAATGAGCAACTTTTATAAGTAAAAGAAATTCAATCTTCGCGATGAATTTAATAAAATAAAACCTGATGTTTTTGTCCGTATTAGGGATTCCTTCAGTTGTAGCTAATATAGTATTTCGGTGGCCGTTTACGTTTGGGCGCCCCCTGTCACAGTGCCTTCGAACGTCGCCCTAACCTATCTTTTGCGAAACGTCACGATTTTCTTCCGAACGCCGTCGTTTCGTGGTAAATAATTGAATAATTATGGCACCGTATTACGGACAAGCTCGAAAATCTCGCTGTGTCACAGAAATGACTCGAAAATAAAAAAGGCTCGTAGGTGTGATTTATTCTTTTCTTACTACATCAGATCATTTTACGATATAATATGCATTTCGTGCGACGGAGTACCGTTTATAATCGATTTATGTGAAACAGTTCCGTAAGCATTTCTTAAGGATTTAGATAAGAATTTCTATCAAGATCGAAGACGCTCCGTGCATACTTCGATAAATATTTTCGGCATATGAAATTTATCTTAAATCTTATACGTGGATAATTATATTTAATTTGAAGTAAGTTCATTTAAGTACTTTATCATGTATACGTTTATTTATGTACTTTTTTATTGATAACTTTAATTGTATCTTAGTGTTTAGAATAAAAAATACAAATCAAGTTTCTTCGGAGTGTTTTTTCAGGAACACGACGGTAAACAGTAGCCAGATCTGAATCTGTACTACGTCACTTAATTACTCGTTATCGTACGATGATGACTAACTGATAATCGAGCTTCGTGCATTCTTGCGATGATAAGGAACAATGCGTGAAAAAAGCAGGTGGAATTGCGATCGCAAGATGAAACTTCGTTCAATCAAAAAAAAGAAAACAAGTACGAATTAATTAATTCTAGATTAGTCCATTTGTTCACATATTCTAGGATATTATAAAGATATGTATGTATATATTTTTAATTAGTATTAACATTTTTTGTGTTTCATTTAATACCTAAAGTAATAACAATAAAAATATTTGCAACTTGCAAAAAATTAGTTCGGTATCTTCCGCACAAAAGTATGAATTTATTTTTAGATTAATTGATTAGATTAAGTGATTAGTATTTAATTGATTAGATAAATTCATTGATAAGTTAAGTCAGTATTTGATTAAGGAGGATTAATTGAGAAAATCTATTTAAAAAAATTAATTACTTCATAGATTATTTAATTATTTGATTAAGTAATCATTTATTTATAAGCTGTTCTTTTAAGTGATAGTGCTATACTAAACTGTCAATCGTATGACAGATATATCGACAGTGTATCGATAAATAACGCGGAGATAATTTATCGACAATCGATAGTCACAAGTACATCATTCTGTAAATATTTCTAATCTCCATAGTTTGTTCAGATTATATTTAAATAAAAATTGACAAAAGTGGAAAACTAAAAATTTCTAAATTTTTAAATTCCTAATTCAAAATTTGAGATTTGGGCTATTTGGAAATTTGCAAACTTGAAAATTTTTAATTTCCAAATTTTTATTTTTCTAAATTTCTAAACTTTTAAAATTCTGTTATAAGTATGATAATTAAACATTTTTTAATTTTTAGTATTCCAATTCTTCACATTTCCATATTTTCTAATTTATATAATTTCTAGATTTCTTGATTTTATATTTCCAAATTTATAAATTTATAAATTTATAAATATCCTAATATTAAATTTACAAATTTACAAATTTCTTAATTAAAAATTTTTTAATTTACATATTTTTTATTTTAAAATTTTAAAGCATCTAAATTTCCAAAGAAGCAAATTTCTAACTTTAAAAACTTGTAAAATTTACAATTCTAAATCAACAAACTATCAAATTTCCAAATGTCTCAATTTAAAAATATGAACATGTGATATTTAAATAAAAAAAAATTTAATTTGCAAATCCTGAAATCTAGTATTACTGTTAGTTTCACAAAAATTATTTTTAAGACACATATCAGGAGTATGCCAAAATTAAAAAATCTGAATTAAACTTCCGCATACACATACACGCACATACACATCTCGACAAATACTCAACCCTTCAAATACTAAAATCTCAACAGACCCACCACATTTCCTCTAATTATGATCGATCGAGCGGGCGAACGATTTGAATAGACGAAAAGATGGATGAAACGGTAGGGAGTATCGCGGAGAAACAAAGAAAAGAAAGAAGGAAAAGCGAAGCGTGAAATTCCGCTGTGGCCGTCTAAAAATAGTCGGTTACAAAAAGGAATAATAACGCGGGTACGTATCTATCTGGTCGCCGGGTAAAAGCGTCGGCCTATTTATGTATCGCCCGGTAGAGATGGAATTCCGATCTCTTCGCGTGGTCGTTAACATTGTTTGCCTCTGGAAGAGAGCCGTAGGAATGTGAAAAGCTGCGTCGGCAAATGGCGAGCAACAACGCCATAAGGCCTGTCGCGCTCCTTTACCGCGCTCTCTATTTTCTTCTTAAGCATTTCCGAGCTCTGCCTTTCCTTCCCGACGTGTCTCCGTCCGTGTAAGAATTTCGAGCAAAATCCACCCTGGATTTACCTTTTTTTTTGGCCGGAGGTAAACGGTGAAAGGAAGGAAAACGAAAAAGTGCGCGCGGCACGTGTGCACGGAGCTTAAGACGCTGAGTGATGGGACTTCGGGGTGTTGGATTTAAATCGTACAACTATTTAGCAGCATTAAATAATTTCGAGTTTTATGCTTGGTATTTTTTCAGTGGAGTGGGTCTCTTGAAAAGCTCAAGGGCACCGGTGGGAAATGTGGGCGCCGTGGTGAGAAATGGCGGGAAATGTACGGAATTCAATTTTTGGATTTAGGAATTTAGAGATATTGGTGTTTCAAGATTTGGAATTTTATAAGTGACGAATTTGTAAAATTAGAAAATTAGAAAATTAGTGCATTTTTATATTTCTGAATTAGTAAGTTTTAAGTTTATACATTCAGAAAATTGATAATTTGGAAATTTACATAACTACGAATATAAAAATATAGAAAGAAATTTATATTTAAACGTGTAGAAAGATATTTATGTTTAAACATATAGAAAGAAATCTATATTTAAACATGGTGAAGGAAATACATATTTAAAAATAAAGAAACATTTTTACATTTTAAAATTAGCAATCTGAAAATTTAGAATTGAAAAATGAATTTCTTATTTTTAACTCATAATTTTTAAGATCTCATGCATTTTTATTTGGTCAAATATTCAAAATGGCGGCGAATTTTCTTATTTATGATCTGATTGAACTTAAAATCGATTACTCGAAGTTTTTGAGATCGCGTAATACGAATTTTTTGTCTGAACTTGAAAATTCAAAATGGCGGATTCAACATGGTGGACGAATTTTCTTATTTGTAGTCCGATTCGACTAAAAATTTATATACGAGATTTTTTAACGAAATAAATGAAATACACCGTATTTTTACATTTATTAAACATAAAATATTAAATTTCTATATTGCACTCGAATTAGGGAAATAAAAATAAAAAAATGTGTATTCTTAATGTACTGTATTCAAATAGTTAAATACGAAGAAATTCAATAGTTAATTTTAAAAAATTACTTTCCATCTGCTTTACTGTATATTCGAATATATAATCGTAATTTTGATTCGTAAATCAAATCAAATCGTAAATTTCTAATTGTAAGTAGAAATAAACTTGATACTCGAAGGTACAAAACTAAAGCTTGTATTTCAAGTAAAAGCGTGTAAATATTGCGTATATATTTTTGCACGAAACTAGTCGAGTATATTGGAGAAAGGGGTAAAAACTCGAACGCGCAGGTCGATCGATATGTAACGAATAATATTCCTGCGTTCCTCGGCCATCCTATTTCTTTCGTGCGAACGGAAAAGAGCGAACGGTATATGGCCGATTCGCAGCACCGCGGGGCATCATCCCGGAGTATCGAAGGACAGTAGCACATCCGCTCGTGTGCACACGATCGTACACCCTCGGGAGTCCTCGTAGCTCTTCGTGGATCCATTCGTGGACCGCCTGGGGGCCCTACGAGCGTAACACCGGTAGCCACTACGCCAAAAGGGTCGCGTTGGTGCGGCACGAGAAAAAAGAGAAACACACGGAGAGACAGAGGCCGTGAAGAGAGAGGGAAAGAGAGAGACGGGATGAAAGAAGCTGGCGAGGACGGAATATCCAGGGCCGAGGTCCGAGAGGACAGGCCGGAGAGGAGACTCGGGGGAACTGGCATCTTTTCTTCAAGATGCATTCAAACTTGGGAGAAGAGTACGCCTTAGCGATGGGATCAATATCCTTGCGTACTCTTTCCACCGTTCTACACCATTGATCGAACCGACTTTATTTTCATTGGAATTCGCTCGCTCCCTCGATACTGTTGCTAATGTAATGGATAGTTACGCGATCTTACGATTTGTACTACTCACGGATACGAAATTAATTAACTACGTGCTCGCGTTCGATCAAACGGTATTCCGGAGATTGCGATTTAGAGAGGTTAGGCGCTGCTATCGATTATCGATACGCGATCTATGTGTTATTGGTATTCCCCGATTAAAATTTGTCGATATCGATTAAGCTAATGGAGGTGAGTAATGCAGAATGCGATGCGTGCTTTTACCGTTCGAATTTATTTTTATTTAAACCGTAGGACTTAACTAACGTCAATTTTATTTGTACACGATTTTATCGCTGAATTTATTTGTTCCTGTTTAATGTTTGAATATAATCTTATTTAATTGCAAACTGTAATATAATACAATTTAATTGCAAACTATGGGATAATCTAATTGCAAGAATACATTTTAATGATAAAATGTGCGGGGTTAGATTAGGTTAGGTTTTATCATTAGAATTATGTTATTAGATTAGTTATGTTCTCTTATTAAGCTAGATTAAGTTAGAATTAGGATAGAAAGAGGAATAAGTTATTAGGTTAGGTTAGGTTGCTAGAATTAGGTTAAAATTTACATTAGACTCAAAAACAAGTTATTGGGTTTAGGTTAGGTTAGGTTGCTAGAATTAGGTTGGAATTCACATTAGACACAAAAATAAGTTATTAAGTTGAGGTTAGGTTAGATTGTTAGAATTAAGTTAGGACTTAGGTTAGACTCAGGAATAAGTTACTAGATTAAGGATAGTTTGGATTACTAGATTAAGTTTAAATTAAAAATATAGTTCAGGTTAAAATTAAATTATGTCAACTTTAGGTTAGGGTTAAATTACGTTTAGGTTCACTTATTAGATTAAAGTTATATTACAGTCAGATTAAGTTATTAAAATTAAATTATGCTTAGGTTAAATTATATTACTATCAGTTAGATTATAGCTTGTTGTGTTCAATTAATGTAGGTTAGATTACATCATGTTAGATTATTAGATTAAGTTAGGTTAGGTTAGGTTATTAAATTAAGGTCTGATTAAATTGCGTTAAGCTTTACATTGAATTTATAGACTGAGATTAAATTTTATCATTCAGATCTATTCTTGTCTTAATTTTGAATATAATCTAAAGTATATTGTGGAACATAAATTATTAGATTTTAGTGATATACTTAGTAAACTGAATAGAAAAAAGAAAGAACACCGTATATTGCTCTAACGCAATCATTTATAAGTTATAATAAAAATTTATCATAAAATTTAATTTATAATAAAAATCATGAGTATGATTTGCACCATGTAATTTTCTACAAAATTAACATTTTAAAAGTCAAAGAGTTTGTAGAATTATATAACACTTTCTTTACTTAACAAGTAAATTTTACATTTATAAATCACAAACTTATATGTTTCAAATCATGATTCACACTGTACCATATGTACCTCATATTTTATAATGAATATGTATGTACATTCTTACATATGTAGATACTACATCTATAATTATCTGCTACCAATTATTTATTTCAACTGATGCTTTTCCCATAAACGCTAACGACAGCTTTAATTAAACGAATCACGTAATTCAAATTAAACTGGTAGTATATCCACTATTAGTCTCAATAACTTTACCTATATAAAGAATACAACTCAACTAGTTTTCAGATGCAGCAATAAATACATTTCGCAATATCATTCTTTTCCACTGCTTTAATTTACCTATAAATTTCAGAAAATTTGTTGCACGTTCATCGCGCCAGAATGACCAGTTATGAATTAACCTCTTCAAGGATAACACTACAAATACGTATTAATACACAAATATTCCTTCTTTTCTTGTATTACAACTTCTATAAATCAAAACAAAATATCAATCAATTAAAAATAAGCAAAACAAAATTACATAAAAATATTTCTTTTCTAACCTCAAGATCTATGACGGTTAAAAAATATGGCCTCCAGCGGTCAAAAAAGATCGCGTCTAAGATCCTAACCTCAAAAAAGTTGAGTAGGTAACGAAGATTCTGCGCTGAAATAATTCGATCCATTATCCACAAAAGCAGATGCAATCACCGAATTGCTCGAAAAACTATAAGCCAACCGTCGAGTTAATCCTATCGCTAGCGAAGAGGCTTTCATCTTTCTCTGTCCGTTTCTCCGTCGCTCCGGCCGCACGCATGAACTTCCTCTCTTTCTCTCTCTCGCTGTCTTCCGCGCGCGAAGACGTCGTCGAACGAACGTAGAGAGAGAGGAAAGGAGAGAAATCGTTGGTAGGGGGCCACGGTGGAGGAGAAGCGGCGGGAGAAAGAAAGAGTGG